ACATCTAGTCGCAGGCCTCTCGACCCAGCACGCTTATATTTTTTACCGCTACAGGGTGATCGAAAAGTAGAGTGATACCTTGTGTACCAACCTCGGTAAATAGTCCTTACAATCGATATACAGTGTGTGTATAGTAAAAGTCTTTTCACCCTGAGATCAAAACGAGGGATCATTGATACCCTGCAGCCATCCACGTGACACGTATTTTTCTGTAAAAAATGTTCAGTTGTTTGGTTTATATGAAGTAATAAAATAAAAAAAAAAAGTATTCGTCAACGACAAATGTGGTCAATTGGACGCTGGTTTTATTAGCGTTTAACGCCGAGTCCGCGCGACGTCCGTACTTCTTACTTACGGCGGACCGCCGTAAGCTAAGAGACTAGTTCCCATATATACACGCGCTCGTTACTTATGGGCGCGTACGCAATACGCAAATAAAACAAACCCGCAGGAATACACGCTACGAGAACGCGTAGTTTGTTTGCTCTGACATGGAGCCGCTAACTCACGGCGGCTCTTCGTTTTACGAGTCGAAGCGGAAGTAGCTCGCTCTACCTGTTTGTCGGGAGACCAAACCCGTCCGGCGAATAATCCACCGTTGCGATCTCGATCCTCATACCTTCGTTCCTCTTCTTATTATTCTCCTTGAGATTCTCGAAATTCTTCAAGAAATCCTTTACTGTCTTCTTACGTGATATATTCAAACTGCCGGTACGGCGTCGCCTGTATTATAACTCGTAGCTCGTTTTGCAGCTGAGTTAGGAATAGGATGAATTCACGCAGTGTCAATTGCATAAGGGCGCAGTACCTGGAGTCTTATAAGTATTAAAGCCATCGTGAGTACTCCGCCGATGAAATTGAGTCTCGGCTACACGTCAAAGGGAATGCCTTGTAATTAACCATAAACTTTCCATAGGACACGCCTTACCCGGTTCAATTATTGAATCTTCCAAGGCGCATCGTCGTCAATCCGCAGCTGATGGGATGCTTTGTCTTTTAAATCTAAACAGAGCCCAGATTGGATTTCACTTTGCGCCTTTCGCTCGTTCTCGCGCGTACTTTGCCGGGAAACCTACTGGAAGGAAGTCGGGTCGGACTAGAAATCTCCTAGTTCACTTTTTAAAGGTTAGACCATCCACCGCGTTGAACTGAAATTCTTTCGACTCTGTACCCACGTTATCTCTACTAATGGCAGTAGGGATTCTCGCGCAGGAATATCCAGCCTGAAACGTACCCTGCAAAATGCACTTCGTGTCTCTGCATAATTATTCAACATTTTGCCACTGGACAGTAACCTCTCTGACGTAACGCGTCAACGAGATACGATAAATTCTCACCGGGACGGTATTTCCACGTGACAGCAATAGCACAGGGATGCCAACCACTGCGTGACTCTGGGGATATGCGAGGTATGGGAAATGATTTTACAAGTATGGAGAAGCTGAAGAGAGATGGCACGGATGAAAAGAAAACGGGGTGGAGGAGAAAAAATAGAAAAAGGGCTGAATAACGGAAGGAGAGGACATTGGATGAGCGTCTGGCTTGGTATCAAGAGTTTCAATGGGAAATGGCCGTGGAATGAAAGGGCCAGATATGCGAGTGAGAACAGATTGGAGAGAATGAGACAGAACTAGGCTGTTAGCCATTGTCGAAATAGCTGGAAGGTTTATGAGAGAAAGAACGTGATCGGCCAGCACGCGAAGAGAGAGAGACCAAGTTAAAAAAAGAAAGAGCGACGAAGAACCTAACCTGAAAATTGGGCTGGCGCGCCCGTATTGACTTTAGCCAATGGACAGGGAGAGAAAAGCACGATTGGCATTCGATAATTAGTCGTGTTGGCATTGCTCGGCGATACAACACTGGACTACCCGCAAGGTGATCGCCCGGTTAGACCTTTGATCTACGTATTAATTACATATTGACATGCATACGCGTATCTACGAATGATTCGAGTCACGTGACAACGGCTCTTGTGTCGTTTTACGTAATGGTTAATCCTGTAGAGACGTGGAAGAACGTGTAACTAACGACAGGAGCGACTACACCAGTGTTCATGATGGCCGTGGGAAGTTTTCTTATGCTTCTTAAATTCTTCTTTTTTTTTTTAATATCATCTTCAAACTAGTTGTCCGCCACTGTATGTTGCCCCGAAGGTACTCTAGAAACTTTTCCTCTTTTACATCGGACGACTCGACTGGCCGATCTCGACACGGCCACTAATGCCCTCCTTCTTCATCATCTTCGTCCACCATTATTTGGACTCTTTATTTCCTACTGCAGTCTACGATACGTCTGGTACTCTGCTTCGTTTTTCTCTATCCACCCTATGGGATCTAGCGGGTGTGCTTGGTCCTGGGGAAAGTATAATGCTCGTCTTATTGCATGAAGAGAATGCAAATAATTGTACGTCCGAGAGTGTACAGACTACGTACAGGATGGCGAGAGTGCAGTCTGGAATGCAAATAGAGCTAACTATAGTCCTACCAGGATGGAACCTCTTGTCTAGGTGATTCGTCCTGGGGCAGGAGATATCTTCAGGGTCTCGAAGCCTGTATGTAACACTGTGTATAGTACCAGCTAGTCCCGCCATATGTAAAGCCATACCGTTCCCGTATCCCATTAGGTATTCCGCAACCTTTTTCAGGCTATCTCAAGTTCGCTTTTCCCTTCTCTCTCCCGCCAGTGGACGAAGGCAGCTCAGCTAATAGATCGCTATTGACTTAAAAATGTTTCGCAAGACAGTAAACTTTTGTACGACACGCGTCTACCACTTTCTTGTGTACTTGAGGCACACTGTAACGATAAATCATACCTACATGTGTATACATAATAAATTTGACAACGATTTGTCAAAGTCATTCGCGCAGACGATGACGTCAGCCCAGAAGCCACGTACGGCTAAACTATATAATTCTTTGGTTTATCATTACAGAAGCTGCAAACCCTCGGAGAGGATTTCTGCGGATTGGACGTGAACACGCCCTTAGGTGCCCAGGAAGCCATCACAGCTGTTCCGGTTTTAACTTTCGACACGCTTCTGACAGCCGTCGCGGCGACATCCACCGGTGACTTTACGGTCGTCTTCCTCGGCACGCACAAAGGCCACCTCAAGAAGGTTGGTATCGTAATTATAAAATTAATAGTCGATTCGTCAATCCACCCATCGCCCATATAATCATCGAGGAAGTCAGCCGTGAGGTCCAAAGAATTTTCCACTGAGCGTGCCCTATCTCCATTACAAAGTTTACCACGCGATATTGTTACTGCGTCTGTATATATCAGCCAGGGCCGTAAGCATAAAGGGCGCATCGGGAGTGCGCGGCGTCGATCGCGCTTCAAGCGTTTCCTCTACGTTATACGGTGATGGGAAATGGCAAAAAGTCGTCTCCCCCATTACGTGCCGCTAGATGGGCAACGCCAGCCCGTTTATCGAGTATTGTCTGTGTGCACGCGCTCGTTGTAAAATCAGCAACGTTATACACCCTCCTTTTTATTTTTATTTTTTTATTTCTTCTCCCCACGTATATAACGTTACTCTCTTGCCTTTTCCATTTGTATCCATTTTCCACTTTTTTTTTTTTTTTTTTTTTT